GCCTCTCCCTCACTGGTTTCATGCCCTGCAAGTTACATTGAGAAGCAACTTCGCACCTATCAAGGATGTTAAGATTTGCCTTTCTTCTTGGGGCTAAAACATCCAGTCCCAGAAAAGACAGAAGTAGCACTAGAGGTATTTAATGAAAAGAAACATTTTGGTGGTTGTCCTAACTCAAAAGCTGAACCTCCCCAAGAGAAAAATCTTCCACCTCTTTGCATTCATTCAGGAGCTCAAAGACTGAGGGCAGAAGGTTTATGAACATTACTCATGCTTGCAGGCCATACCAGATGCACCCAAAGAGGTTTAAGTGAATTTCTAGCTCTCTAATGCTCTCCTGAACATCCAGCTCCCAGTTGGTATAGAAGAGGTGAATAACGCCCTTTCGTTATTGAAGTGCAGTACTTTTGGCGATAAGGACCCGACTGTATTTCCCCTAAGCACCCACTAGTAATAAATGTAGACGTCGAGATTAGCAGACTAATTCTGGGCGGTGTCTGAGTGACTACTTAACAGGGCATGTCCAAATAAAGTACCAAAGTGCTTTCTGATGAGAGGCAGTATTACTACAGAAAGCCTGGCCAAAGTCCTCTGAAGACAAAAGGCTTAGTCCTCCAACTCTGGCTAAGAGAGACTGGAGGCAAGACTGAGCCTCGGCCATGTGAGTTTTCTCCATCCTCCTCCAGAAATACTTTCATAGAGAAGTCCAAAGCAATTTTAAAACATCCATGGTCTAGCTCCCTTTGGAAGAAGAATGACGGAGACTGATACTACAGAATATGCCCTTTCACAAAAGCAAGACACAGTACTCTGTTACTGAGTAAGACAAAATCGCAACAGGATGACAAATTTGCATTTCATTTCTGTGAAGAGTAAAATGCAGCCTCCAACTACATGCCTAGGAAAAAAGTCTGCCAGAGGTGGCTATGGTGACAGTTATGCAAATGTGTGATAAATAACTGAGTTAATCTTACTCTATATATCAGTTACAAAGTTTAACACAGACACAGCAGTATTTCTGGAGAGAAACCGAGAGCCTGCTGCATCTGCCCAGCTTCTCTACCAGATGTGTCAAAGCCTCTGCAGGCTTATGATTTTTTTTTTCCAGGTAAACTCCCCTTCTGGACCACAATTCCTTCAAGCTTGTGACTGCAACTGAGAGAAGAATTCTATTCCAGAGCTGCTGCTTTGCATCTTTAGCTGTTTTAGTAACAACTTCAAGCAACTCTGTTACAGACGCAGCCAAAATAATTCTCTCTTCTGGCCATCAGGAATGTGTGTTTCACCATTTGAATTCTATGACCAGTCACCCAGGCCGGATTCCTCTCCCATACTAGTAACTCATTCAAATAAATTTACAAATAAGAAACAATGCAGAAGATTTCACATTTTTTAACAGTCAATAAAAGGAGGAATTGAAGCCTTCTCAATGTACTATGTCATTTGTTGCATCATGTAAGAGACTAACATCCCTACTGTAGTCTTTACAAACTAGGTGTTAATATTGAATCTCTCAGAATTAAAATTCAGGTGTATGAACGATTCAGCTTTATTTTGACCGCTGGTAAACTAGCAGCTACAGGGGTTTTCTTCTACTTTTATGAAGTTCAATTGAAGTTGGCTGCATTGAAAAGAACAGCTGAAAGAGCTCTCATTTGTGATTCAGTATAAAGGATAAGTTATAGGGCAAAGCAAAGTTTTAAGAGCTATTACTGTAAGCCTCTAAAAATCTATTTTCTTGTCAATTTTAAGTCAAGCTCAAAAATGATCTATTTTTAGTTATTTTAAAATGAATCCACTATCCTGCAAAAGCTAGCATTATTTAAAAAGCCAGAGAACTAAAGAGACAGTTCTACTTAATAGCATCCTTTCAATAAACTTTTTACTTATCTTCTGAATTAAATATACTTTAATCCCCACCATTACATTTCAAAGCTGACACCTTCTCAGGCAGAAGTCCTCAGCTTCCTTTATTTGGCAGATAATTAGCACTCAGGCCACCAGCACAATCTGCCTCACACCAGGACTTCATAGCTTTCAGATTTCGGTACTATCACATCCAAACTACTGCATGTATTTTAGACATGGTAAGCATGACAAGGGATATAGTATTCACGTGGGTTTTCAATTAACTTTCTACCAGCTGTTGTAAGTAAGATAACACCTAACCCAGCGCTAAGTCTGCCAGAACATAGTTTTCAGAGAAGTTTCAATGAGTTTGAATCAGCAGTCAGCTTGCATAGGTTCAGCATTACTGCTCAGATGGTCACAGCATTTTAATTTTTTTTTTTTAATCTGACAGCAGCATCTCAAAAGCGAGGCTTACTGTTTTGTGAATGCATGACCTATGTAGCAGAGTATAAACCAACCATCTTCTGCTCTAACTTTTCAGTACTGCATTTCACTCAACAACCAACTCTAGTCGAGGTATTTTTTTTTTCCAAAACCAAAGCAGAACAAGCCGTAAACCCACTAAAATTATAAATTCAAAAGGTATAGTTTGTAACATTAACAAAGTGCGTATGATTCATTCCAACACTATTGCAACATAAGGACCATTTCAGGTGGAAGATAAAAAGCTTTTTACTTAAGACAACCACTTGAAGACAAGCAATAACAAGAAGAAAACCCAAACTATCTATGTTGAGTACTACGCAAAGCAAGTCTATGGTCACAACTCAGTCCCAAAATAAACAAGACCAGAGGGAACAGACAGTGCAAACAAGCTTCCTTGTATGTTAAAAAAAGTAAGGTTTCAAAGTTCGGGTTACTGCTGATTGGCAGACCACTGGGGTCTGTATTGCAAACTACCTTGTGAGAACATCATTACTTTAAAATAAGCCTAAATACTAAGACATCCAAAAATCACAACCAAAGACGCAGGTTTTTCCAAAAATACTATGAAATGATGCCACAAAAAGGTTAACAAGTATTCTAATACTAAGTTAAAGCTTGCACTAACATTGAGCACTTTTGAAAAAAGTTCTCTGACTGTAAGCACCGTACAGCTGTAGCATTCATTTTGCAATGCAACCATCTTTAGAAGTAAGCACTATCCTCTTACAATGACAGATTCAATGAAGGCAAAGTAGGAAACAAGCTTACTTTGTAAACAGAACAAAAGCAGATTCAGGAACAGAACTCACGTTTCCAAAAAACAAAAAGTAAAATCTAACTGTCTTAATCACTGGACCATCCCAGAAATGGTCTGAAACACAGAAGCACAGCTAAATACAAAAGACAGACCTCCACTTACACCTAACACCAATATACTGAAGGAGACAAGCAAACAGGACAGCTGAACACAAACAGTGACAGAGAGGTATAAAACCCTTGGGCTTAGAGATGATGGGTTTAAGTCTTTTGCAATCTTGTTTTCAGCATTCTAAGACTCAGTCCATCAATTAATCACACGCTGATACAGTATACATCTTACAAATGCTATGTACACTTACTCTGCAGAGCAGCTTTGTCACTTATATCACAAAACAGTGCCTGTCATTCTCAACAGAGAAGGTGTTGTAAGAAACAAGAACTACAATAGCTGAGCAATTTTAAAATGTGAAGCATTCTAAGGCAAAATCCCAAACTTCTACAGCAAAGCCAAGTGAAAGGGGTAGGTGCCATGCAATCAAAAGAGAAACTTGCGTTACAGTGTATTGCACTGAAATTACTGCCATGCACAAGAGACCAAAAAGAGGCTGCACCAAAAAAAAAGCATTACAAAGTTATTGTGTTCTACCAATGAACTTTGAAGCAGAGCATGAAAGAGTAAGTGACTTAGCAGGTTCAAAAACTCCATCTTAGTTTTTCCAAACCACTGGAGGAAGCTTAATTTAAACAGGATGGTGTCCCTAAACATTCAAAATTAATCCCTCCTGTATGAAGAAATGGTACTTTTAATCAAACAGCATCTCTTTTTGAAAGCCACCTCATCCCACTGCACATTTGATGCCTAGCATTTGCTAGAATTAAGAACCTTTTCTGTTATTAAGTATTTTGTGCTATTTTGGCCAAAATTGAAGTTTAAGGAAATTTGCTGCCCTTGATGATCCATTACTTCCAGTGAGTAGGTTTTGTACATCCATGCAAATCACATATTAGTAAGGAACGACAAAATTTTTCACAGGAACCTAATAAGTGGGTTTTCAAGAGAAAAGAAACTCATTTCAGCAGCACAAATAAGAAATTCTGAATATATAATACAGAACAGAAAGAATTTATATTGGATCCACAGTAAACATAGAATAAGGATTCATTTTGTGTACTAAAAGTGAAGTTGGATGCAAGAAGTTGCATTAAAAAAAAAGTCAGATGTGGTGTTATTTAAAAAAAAAGCGAATCCCTGTGTTCTGCATAATGAAACAGGTGGAGACTATTAGGCTTAGGTCAAGTGTAAGGAGGTGACAATTTTTTACATCTGGAACTGGAACTACCAGTCCAATTGTATACTTGGACCAAGACCATGTAACCATCCAGTTCAACGATCAGGCTGTTCAAACGCTGGTGTATGGGTATCTGCTTACTACTGTAGAAATCTTTACTAATTAATTCTGCCTTCTGCTGATTCATTTCTTCTTGTCCTTGTGTTTTGCCAGTCTCTCCTCCTACCAAGAAAGTGCAGTGCGGCCATTTAATGCTGCATTTTGTCCAGCTCTGACAATATCCAGCTTCAGTGATCTGAAGGCAGAAGAGAGACTATCCAAAACACTGGTTCTTCAGCAAATTTACAGTGTTAAAAGATTTCATTACAAAACCCTGGAGTGAACTGTTTGTATATAATGCTGTGAGAAGGACCATACTTTTCTGGGTAAGAAGATCTAAGGCAAGCATGTGGGTACAGATTGGCCACTAGCAGCTCTGCTATCAAAATTGTGTTCTTAACTTGAGCTAGGTAATTTAAATGTTAAAGAAGATTACCTGGGACTAAAACTGAAGGTGAAGTTTGGCAGCTTAGTGTAAAACCTATGGGTATCCACAGGAAGGAATTCAAACTCAACTCCAGATTGTCCTAATTTTATTTGACTCGGTTAACCAATTTTGAAGCACTTTTTACAGTTTACATAAAACTTAAAGGAGCACACTGTGTCCTATAAATATAAACTAACATTTTTAATAACTTGAGACATCACAACAAAGCCAGATTTTGAAATAAATTGTCTGTTTAGTTACCTGGATCAAGAAGGAACATACATGGGGAAGGAAAAAACAGCATTAACAAGAAAACACTGTTTAGTTTTAAACTGAGTTTGTGCTTCTACACCAAAAACACAACACCGAAGTAACAAGAACTCTGCAAAGAACTTGAAAAGGTACATAACTTCTGTAGTCCCAAAAGCAAAGTACGTATTTATTTCTTCCTCTACCTGTTATTTTGCTGGGTTCTATGAAATTAGCATTAATGGTAGAGGGACAAATATAAGAAATATTAACTTTGCTACAAATATGAATTCTGTTTTTGCAGTTTGTTAGATTGTTGGTTTGGGTTAATTTGAATTGGTTTTCCTGCACAATAAACAAGACCAAGTCTTTTTGATGTATTTAATAATCAACGCATTTGTTAGTACAAAGCAGATGGTGTTCAGCAAGAAGGCATTAAGTGATCATTTGAAAACACCATGCTTTTTTTAAAAAAAAAAAAAAAAACCACAACACTAAGCCACCTTAAAGAATTTTGTGAAGGCCAGATGTTCAAAGCTGGTGCACAGATAAAAACTGCACATCCATGATTTATGCATGAAATGACCCAGAGCCTGGCAGGTGTTAACACATGCCAATAGTTATTTGCATGCTTTCTCTATGACATACAGAAATCAAGTCATCTTCCACTAAACTTTGAAAATCCAGTCTTAGCTACAAATTAACACTTTGCTTCACTCCATTAATTTAACAAAGTTTTTGGTTGATGAGTAAAAGTAAGAGTGAGATATTGTAATGCTAATACTTTTGTACAAATCTTCTTCAAAGCAATTAAGTTTGTTCTCAAAACAAGCAAAAAAAATCTTATCATTCAGAAAGCCTTTTTTTAATTATTAAATATTTTCCTGTATATTTAGGTTCACTACAGATTATTTTTTGAAGCAATCTCAGAACTTAGAACTTTAGAAAACTTTTTTTAAACAGAAATAGTTACTTTAGGCCTAGACCAAAAAAATAATGTACTAGGGCAAAAGATGGAGTTAGCGAGTCAGCCTCTGAATGCTTCTTAAAAGTAGGTGCTTCAAATACAGGTTTAGAAAAGAAATTAAATATCATGTTTTCAGACACACTGAAGAAAACATCTGCAAAGAAAAAAGGCCCTCATCCTTAAGACTGAAGAAAAAGGTGGAAGGGGAGGGGGGGAAAGCACTGTTTTCCCAAGTTGCCCAAATTACACACAGACACAAGAAGGTTACAAATGCCATTCATGAAAGAATGCACCACAAACATCAGCATTTATTCATTTTGAATTTTTTTTTTTTTAGCAAATGACAAAAGACTCAGCTCACTGGCTTCACTTTTGTTTACCTTTTGCTTACATTACACATTTAAACATTTGTCAAAACTTACTAAATTGTCTGCATTCATGCACAACTAGAAAACAACCTTAATTTATTTAAACCAGAAATGCATTACCAGAAATGTATTAACATTGTTCACTACTAAACATTTAAAAAAAAGCTGAAATTATTAAAAAGGTTATCCTGGAAATGTTAACTTCACAGCAGACTTAAACTACTACTTGGCTCACATTTCAAATTGTAAAAAGCAAGATTCATGCTAGTGTTAGTGTACATCTCGCCCTAGCACTACTGAAGGATCATGGTTCACCTTGATCATATATAATAAAAAGAAAAGTGCATACAGAAATTTACAACAATTTTAAGGACAAAAAATGGTCCAATTGATGTGGTCCCAACAATTAACTCAAAAGTCTATGACAAATACGAGCTTCAGTGAGCTATTTATACTACTTAAGTACGGATATACAGAAAGTTGAGTTCGTTTGAAATCTTCAAAAAATGTTCCTGTCAATCCTCAAATGGTGGCTGTTATAGCTTAAAATTTCTGTTAAATGCGTGCGTTGAATTACTTGTTATCCAAGCGTAGCAGCTGCTCCTTACCATTTATTGTTAGCGACCTTAACTGGCCATCTTCTTCAACTTCTACTCTCTCTTGTCCATTCTCAACAATTCTGTAGGACAAAAACACAGCCATTTTAAAGCACTGTAAGCAGTCTGAAAATACACACCAGACCTAGGATTTTAGATAATGAACTATAATGGAGCACTGCCTGCTTAATGCAACTGTAGTTGGCAAGCTTTTGTATTAACAGCACAGAAGCTGTAACTAGTAACCATCTGCATTCCCCCACTGATACTGCTTATTTACAGAAGGAAAATTGCTTTCTGAAAGTTTGAATCCTCCAGCTTGTAGAGTTCACAGTTACAGCTGTCACCTCATACATTGTCACAGTTGTACTGACACTACAGACTATTATCTAGAACTAACTGTCTTTTGACATATCAACTGTACAATCTTGATGATGCATTTAGTACCTACCCATTCGTTAAATGCATAATATTCTAGACCCAATGACAGTTTTGCATGAGGTAAGGCACGCAAGACAGTCTTTAATCCACTTCTAATTTGAAAAGAGCAATTATTTTGGAGACCTACTGTATACCAAGTTTATGACCAGCAGGATACGTTGCAAAATTTAAGTATCCCTGTCTGGAAGGAGAGATTATTAAAGACCTCTGTGGGTTTGGGCTTTTTTTGTTGTTTTAGAAATGGGAAGATAAGGAATGTTTAAATTATTTTCAGAACATTAAATTTATGCCTAAATTTTAACTATCTGGGAATTCTCTCCTCATGATTCAAATGACGAAACCACATGGATGATTACAAATTTTTCTGGAGATCAGACTTACTGAAGAGAATACACCCATATTAAAAACAGAGTAAATGGCTTCTTGGCTGAAGCAAAGTATTACTCAGAGAAGATTTTCACTGGGTATGCTGGTATATGAATCTTCTTTAGACTTAGCCACCTTGTCAGCAGACATTCTACAAAGTAACAGGACTTCTCAGAGACACTAAACATGTCTTCCTTGATGTGGCTAACCACATTTCTTGCTTCTCCCCCCCGGTTTCTAAATATGCTAACATAAGATATGACAGCAGCATACCTGATTTAGTCTATTTTTTAATATTAAAACAAACATGGTGCCTTATCTTCTTTTGTGTAAATACTTTCTTTGGTGTCTCTCACCTGGTACAATTCCCTCAAAAGTGGGCAGTTTTCAGATTTTTCTGGAATACACTCACAGAAAAACATCATGACCACAACAGCATGTGATGACAAAGGCTGCATTTAAGTGGTCAAGATGACAGGATCTCTCCAGTATAATAGGACACAGAAGAACCTTGCATTTCAAAGTACAGGATACAAGTTACCAAACAAAAAAATTGGCTTTCCCTTGCTTTTCTGCAAATTTTTTTTATAAAGTACTGAAATTACATTTAACTACTTGTTCAGTACTCCTATAACTTACTGATCATAATGTTCCATGTAGGTTTCTCTATAGCTAATATTTGGGTTTCCCAAATGCAGTGATTTCCCTATCACAAGCATGAAATAGTGAGAAGGTACACTGTGTGCAGTACTTGAAAATTCACTTTCCAAACAGGAAACATATTCTCCAAAGCAAGTTTCAGTTGCTTATTTGACTTAACAGATATAGGAAAATTACTTTACACAAAAACTTCACTCCAAACACTGCTTAGAAAAGCAAACTAGAGCAGATGTTAGGGAAAACTGTTTCAAGTTTCACAGTGTCTGCAAAATTAAGTGTCTTCCCAATCCCCAGTTGAAAGCTTCACAATCAACAGAAACCAAGTGCACTTTTCCCTTCCAGAAGCTCAAGCTGACTTGGCAGGCAGTAGTCAAGGACCATAATAAGAGATGCATCATTACACTAGAAGTTCTGGAGGCCTGCAAGAGCTCCATTGCCAGGTCCCTTTCAAAGAGCAAACAAGTTGCAACCTTCATTTTTTGTCAGAGCAGTTCTGAAAGCAGGTCTTACACATCTGAACCCTCCTCAACTATCAGGAGTTTACTATCTTCCCCATTTTCACATGCTACAGCTTTAAGTAATTCAGCAATGCCAAGAAGAGTCAGAGAATCCAACAAAACTTTTCAAATTTTTTTAAGCATTCAGAGAAATCCAAGTAATATGATGACCACAACAGCAACAGTAAAAATACATATACATACATGTATCACTATATTTATGTGTGTATATATAGTATATTTAAATACACGTATTTATAGCTATGCATGTCTCTACATGTAGTTTCATACAAATATATTTATATCACTTACCTCTTTGTAGTAATTTTTCTGCCATTAACTATTTTTGTTGAGGTTGATACTGATTTGAAGTTACCCATCCCACTGCCACCAAATGACGTGGAGGAGAACGAAGTAAGGCCTCCGTGTCCCAGTGAACCAAACGAAGTAAAACCTATTGGGAAAGAAGGTATTTGACTAAAAATGTATTTTTGCATGATCATGGGATCCAAGTTTATCATTCACTCAGACTACATCCTAGCTTCAGGATGCCCTTAGGTGGTTGCATCAACACAGTATCAGTGACTAAATAGCATTAAACACCAGGGTGAGAATAAAAACATGGCTCCAGCCCCATCAATTTCTGCCATATGGACCCATAGTTCAAATTCCAAATGCACAGCATGATCCAAAAACCATTCGTCATCTCCTTCTCTGAAGAAAAGGCATTCAGGCCTGTCTGCTGAACTTAAACCATTATATCATTCTTTCCACTCAAGGTAAAGCTAGTAACTTTAATGGATCTGATTTTTTGCTTTAATGTAGATGTTGGGATGCCCTGAGTTAGCAGACACAAGTAGTTCTGTATCACTAGCATCCAACTAATACCCAGAATCTTAACACTTGAAAGGATACTGACTACCAGCAACTCTCAGCAACCTCCTGAGATACAGACATCAGCATTCAAACTGACTATCCCAAAACTGATACTAAGTAGTACCATGGGTTTTAGGCACACATTTTTCCAGTGTATTTTCAGGACCTTAAATAAAAGCCATCATACCCTCAATACCAAAAGCAAACAGAAAAAAAAAACCAATTTTAAAGCTATAAAAAAAACCCTGTAGCACCAAAATTAAGAACACAAAAAGTTCTACCTCCTAGAGGTCTGTTTACTTTTCATGAACTTTCAAGTAGACCAAATACCGTAACTATAGCTTTATTTACATTCAGACTTTACAGAGAACAGCTTAATTTAAAAAAAGCAGCCTCAGAATTCCCTGAATGAAGGAGGCAACTTTTAAAAAAGTATTTATCAGCTTATTATATTGAGATCCTTTGTAAACCAAACTGCATTCCTTGTTAAATGTTATGATATTTACCTGTGTCAAATGAAGAAAAACCACTGCCAAAAGCAGGGAATCCACCAAAGGCAGAGAAAAATGATCCACCACCTCTGCTTCTGCTTCCCCTTGGACCCCGCCTGCCCCCGAAGAAGTCCTCAAAAGGGTCTTCTACAAAAGCGAAGACAACATTTAAGAGGTCAATATTACTGAGTAATTCTGTATTTAATCATTAGGATTCTTCATTAAAAAAAAAAATTTCCCATTACAGATAAGATTCTACCTTTGAAATACTTGATGCTACTGAACTCAACAGTCCACCAAAAAGGCAATTCCCTATGCTCCTTCTGGACTAAATTCTGTCTCAGTTTTGGACAGTTAAAAATAATTACAAAAAATTTCCTTATTTTAGCTGTTTAGTATTAAAAACCAGTAAACCTAATGTAAATGCTCTTACATTTTTCAGTATAATAAAATTGACAAGAGCTACAGAAACAGTATTATTTCCACCACATGCTCATATAGCATAATACACTGGAGGTATGATAAAAAATGAAATCAGTATTTATTTGAAGCTAACTATGTCCAGTCAGTTAGCATCTGACAGATTTAACACTCTTCAGATGCATAATCATGATCTCTACACACCAAGTCACCATAAAGCAAATCCTTCAGCTGTTCTACAGAACTTACTGTTGCCAGGCTAAGGTCAGGCTCTTAGAATTCGAATTTAACAAATCTTAAAATATTGCACACAGGTACATGAACTTCCTAGCTTATTTTTATTCAAGATTTATTGTAGATCACCATGATGAGGTCTCTGACAAGTAACTTCCAGATAGGTTATATCAATTATTGAAATATAAAAACAGCAGCCAGGGATTCATGACTCAAAGTGTTCAAAGTGTTTATTTCAGCACTTGCCACATCAGGTACTTCAAACACGTATTCTGATGCACGTTTAGGCAGCAAAGTATGGAAGTTTACACACAGTGTCCCAAAGAGGCATTTGGTCCCTACCAAGCAGGAGGAAGAGGGGAGAAATAGAGAAAGGGGGTCATGGTTAAAATGCTATTTCAAATTCAAGTACAACTGTTATGTCATTCAGAACAGCTAGCTATTGTTCCATCCACATCAGGAAGACAATAGTCTCTTTCAAAAAAAAAAAAAAAAGGGGGGGGGACGGGACACGACCAGATACCTGTACAAGCAATCCTTATTTACTTTAACACATTTTCCTAAAAAATAGTTATTGCTAGAATTATCTGAAAACTGCTTTTCACTAGTGCTCTTAAAACAAAGAACGACATATAAAATTGCAATCATATAGCAGACACTCAATAAACATAATACTTGCATTAAAATCAGAAATGTTTAGGAACTTCAACTATTCTCTCTATCAATCACAACTCTCCCAAAATCAGTGTTGTACAATACCAACTATTTCACCATGTTTTACAAGCGGGGACTCAATATTGAAAGAGAACAGTCTGAAACACTGCTCAGGATAAGCTCTTGCTGAAAAATGCAGAAACTGGTGATAGGAGCAATAGAAGTATGAAAGCAAGGAAAGAGTCTTATAACTGCATGACTGCTTCAGAACTACAAATTGACAAAGCAAAGGTCAGAAACACAGTATTTATTCCACCTTTGGTACCCCCACAAAAATCCAAGCTGATTTATGATAAATCACCAAGTTAATGCAATAGTGACAATACTAAAGCAATCAATATGATAATAAAAAGGTATTAGTAATCATCTGGTTTATGTGCAATTACTTAACAAAAGTGAAATGTCAGAACGTATTTATGCTGAACAAAGGCAGCTGCTGAGATTCAGACACATACTCCCCATTAGCAGAGACATAAAATGCAAAGAACAACAAAAAAAATAACCCCATCCTTCCCCTAGCATACACAGTTATTGATAAAACAAGGCAGGACCAAACTTTTACCTTACATACACTAGACAAGCAAGTGGTAAGATTTTTTTCTACTTCAGGTGTTTTTTTGGTTTATGCTTTTTTTTTTCCATGTAGAACAAGTTTTCTTCAATATAAAGATGACTTGTTATTACCTTTTAAACAACAGAAATTAAACCAATGCTAGGGCATGGAAATATGGGAACCTACCACCAAAATTACCATTTCCAAAACAAGCACTATGCCCATTTAAAAGAGGCAATTTTTTGTCAGACTACTGTATCAGGTAACACTGCAATTGTTTTGTCCAACTTGTGGAGTGACCAATTTTGCTAGTGACTCATAAGTTGGTTATGAAGGTCATTCACTCACGTGTACAAATGATCTATATTATATTACTCCCACTGTTAAGCTTTCTATTTATAGTCCAATTTTTCTTGTTACCTGGAGTTCGAATAAAAACAAAACAACCTACCATGTAAGCTTTGAGTTTTTAATCGCCCACAGTATATCAACCTATTTTGCAAGTGAACCTCTCCTCCTCAGCACAACAGCAGCAGAAACACAAAGGTTTTTACGGGAGGATCACAGAATCTCCTAGAGATCCCTGCTATCAACCCAGCTTCTAGATGGCTTATTGCCTACTCCTAACCACACTAAAACCTACCCAAGACTTGGACATGCCTTATTAGCCTTTAGCAACCCTACGCACCAAAATAGGTCAGCACTCTGTATTAGCAAATGTTCTAGCCTCAGGTGATTTCTGTTAGCAGCCTTGCTAATAATCCTCCAGTGCTCTTCCAGTAATTTTCTGCAGTAAGGAAGATACTCAAACCACTCTTCCACAATGGACTGCGGAATGCTCAGCAAGATGGATTATGCAGAGACAGGACAATGGGTAGGACTTCCCTGAGGGAATATTTCTTACTATCCTGACAGCCATCCAGGTACAGCATGCAGGAAAAAAAAAATATGGCAAAAACATTGAGGAGAGAAGGCAGCAAGAGGCTTCTGCATTATCTTTTGTTGTATCCACCACCAAATACACATTAATATAGCAACCTCACAACTACTCAGACCCTGTTTATGCTTTTAGTCCCTAAATTAGGATGATTAATAGTACCACTCAGCAAAACAATAACATTTCAGCCTGGTAGGTCTATTTTTGTGATTTAGCAGAACCTTTCCATGCACGATAACCTTTTCACATAGATGGCGTTTTCCAAACAGTTCAAATAACAATATCGGGGTGTTGGGTTTTTTTAATGACTGCTCTTATGATAGTCATTTTGGTGCTTACAATCCATGTAATTTTCTTATTGAATGTTAGAAGCACATCAGATCAAAATTAAGCAGTAAAAAAACCAACCCGTAAGTGAAGTGAAGGCCTTTCTAAAAAGGGAACATACTATATAAATACTATACAACTTAAAAGCTTCAAAAAACTGAAATGCTAGACTAGTGTCACCTCAGAGTATTACTAAATACTGTTTGAGGATAAATTCACAGTTTATTCTAATCTGGGTATTACCAGAAGCGTATGGGAAGACAGAGTATCAGATTCAGTTTCAACCAAAGTGTTGGAATACACTTCTGACAGAAGTTGTGGTGTCAAAACAGCAAAGATCAAGAGAGAACAAAAGGTGAGAAATTTCAAGGAAGCCAGTGAGACAGACTTCTAATATATCAACAACAGCAGATGACATGAAGCTTTTGGGGGGAAAAGCAAAAGCTGAAGCAAAGAACTCATGGTAGCCTGTTACCAAAAAAAAAAAGAAAAGACAAAATGAAGGACTTCAGTACTCTTGCTGTTACTAGATAGGAAGACTGCAGTTTCAGAAGCCAAAAAGTTAATGCAAAGGTTGGAACACAAAACCCCCAGCAACACAAAAGATTGTACACTAACAAACCTACCTGACAATACTTACATTAGAGGTAATGTTTCCAAAAGAATTTACTTTATTTGGAAAAGTCTTTGCTAATTCAAATGCAGCAACGGTCTTGTTCCCCTGGGTAAAACATTAAACCTGCTTACTGCAAACCACAGAATCCTACCTTGCTTTTCTGTACTCACAGGAAAAGAATTTCACCTCTAAACAAGTAAAATAACAACAACAACTATAACAAATATCTCACTGCAGTTCAAAATAAGGTAGGTCATGAACCCCCCCACTCTGAGGAATCCTCAGCTGCAACAGAGAAACAGGATCTTCTCCCTTTCAGCAGTATAAACCAATTGCAGAATACTACTTAAAAGATGTGATTGCTCTCCTTTCCTGCCTTGTAATCATGGAACCAAGTGACAAGTTGCATTAATTCATTGATCCAAAAGAAAACATTGAGTGTTTGCATTGTTAGCTTTCTGTTGCATCCACAAGCTAATCTGACTCTGTATTGGCAAGACTGGCGTATCTGAAAGAAAATGGGCAGGAAAGCACCATACAAGGGAGGAAAGAAGGCAAATCCCAGAATATCTACATTTGAAGCAGTCCACAATTCAGATAAACTTCATGAAATTCATTATATCAATTTAAGGCATTAGCTGAAACCACAATACACTATAAACTAAAAGTGCCACATCTCCTATGGCAGTCACTTCTACCATGACACTTGTACCCTGGCAGCTGCTTGGGGAACCAGATCAGGAACTGATCAGCTGAAAAGAGCATCTCCAGATGAAAAGGCCACATCAATTCTTCGCTACAATTCACAGCGTGACTGTAAAAGCAACTGCTGGTTACAAGGAAGACAGCAGGAAGAACAGCCCAAGGGTCAAAAGTAGCACAGGAAGATGCTTTCAGCCATAGAACAATGCTATCCCTGATGAAAGTGTTGAGCACATTCCAGTGCAATGCCATCATTCACATCCAGAAAATCAGAAGTGTTGAGATAAATTGTGCACCGTCAACAAATGTTCTCATATGCACACACTGCTGCAGCCAGAGATGTTGATAATCTTATAGGAACAATACACAAAGGAACATTACCCTGTAAAAACAGGATCACTGCTCAGTCACCACTCACTGGACTACTCTTGGCAACCAATGAACTTTGTTTCCTTTATTCTTTGCAATCAGAGCTACACTATCACCTCTGCCAAAACATGACACACGAGCCGAATGCCCTTATTGTAGATGCAGGAGGATGACACTGTAGCTGTGTATTGGGTTTGCATGGCAAGGTTTTGGTAGCTGGGGACTACAGGGATGGCTTCTGTGAGAAGCTGCTAGAAGCTTCCCCTATGTCCACT